GATTGGGGCTGAAGTGGCGACCTCGGAGTAACGTCCAGGGAGGGCTGGTTCTACGGGAGCCGTGCGCATGGGGCTGTCAGCTCGTATGCCTGGGTGGCCTGGGCGGTGCCTCCTCCACGCGTGGTGTATGAGGAGCTCCAGGTTGCTGGTCTCCCGAGATGTTCTCGGCGCTCCGCGGTTGGGGGCCTCGCGCCATGGCCCCTCAGTGTGCACAAGGTGCCGGCGTAGGGCCCTCATGGTGCCCCCCCTGCCAGAGATTCTGGCGTCTGCAACGCGCGGGCCACAAATGGGTCCGCCCGCCTCCCGGCTGGCCGCCCAGTCAGCATTCGTGTGCCCAGTGGCGTCCAGCCACGGTGCGTGGAGGTCCGCAGCGCTTTGCCCCCTGCGCCTCAGCGCTTGGCTGTGGTCGTCAAGGTCTGAGGGGGTGGGCGGGTTCTCCATTCGCAGATCATCTTCCAGGGCGAGATCTGGAGATGGGTAGGAGGGGGGGTCCGTGAGGACGGGGCCCCTGTGTGCCGTGTGGCTGACCTCGAGGGGCGCGCCGCTGTTCGTCCAAAGGAGGGGCCCCCGCACTCTGCCCTGTGACGAGTAGTCAGGTCCACGACGGCGTTCACCGAGCGCAGCGTTAGGAAACTCAAGCCCAGGGGGCAAGTCGGGAGGGGGGAAGTCGGGGGAAGAGCTGGTGGACGAGGGAGGAAAGGCACGAGGAGATCCATCCGCCGGGATCGGAGACCTTGCCCGATCGATCGGATCGACATGAGGGGCGGCCCCGACCGCGGGATCGAAAGCGACCCTGGGGGTGCTGGGCGAACGAGGAGGCCCGTCAGGCCCTCCAACGGCCAAACCCATGGCAAGGCAGAGGCGATCGATCATCCCTGTGGAGGGGGGCGTCTCCCTGCGATCACTGGAGCCGGGGGCCCCCGACTCTCGCACCCCTCCCTCAGGCGCGAGGCAAGGCCCGTGGCCTACTCCTGGGGGGCATCGGGGGGCCGTGGTATCAGCGCGTATACTGAAGACGCTGTCCCGTCCCGCCTCTGTGGGGGCAGGGTTACAGGTCATGTCTTCCCTCTGCCAACGATCCCTGGGTTGAACGCCGTGCGCCTCTCTCTGCGTGCCGTCGTCCGGTCCAGGGTAGCGACGGAAGGTCGCACGTTCTGTGTGTATCGCGGGGGGGAGAGCCCCATCCCCTCCTTGAGTGTGGTGCCTAGCGCTCTCGTCTCCAGCGGGTCGACTGGAGGCGGCAGCGCTGGGGTGCACATGGCCACCGTGCCCCCGTCCAACCCCCATGGGGGTAGGGTCCCTGTTCCTAGCTCCCCCGTCCGTCTGTTCCCTGGGTCGCAAGCCTTGGGCGTCATGCAGCCTTCCGCCATCCGCTCCAGGGTAGCGGCGGAAGGTCGCACAGTTTGGGTGTATATCAGGGATGTCTGCGTCCCCCCCTTCTCCAGCATTATGCCTGCCGCTCTCGGGTGCACGGGGGCGGTCAACTGCTGCGTCGGTGGCGGGGTGCCCTTCGCGGGTGGAAGGAGGGGCTCCACCGCTTAGCTCGCCAGCGGGGACGGCCTCACCCAGCGCGGGCACGCCCAGGGGGAGGGGTTCGGCGGTGGGTTGGCGTGGGCCTTGACGGGGCGTGCAGGGGCTGCAGGCAGCGGCTTGCCCGCACCTGTTGCCTATGCCCTCGTGAGCGTCCCCAGAGGATATCAGCTCCCTGTGCGCGCCATCCGAGTCAACCTGTCCCCTGGGGAGACCGCGGCGGATGTTCGTCTGTTCCTCGTCGGTTGTCCTGAGCGCGACGGGGCCCCCGGGAGAGTTTTGCGCCGAAACGGGGCCTTCTCCCCCCGTAGCCCTGGTAACGCCCGGGGTCGTTTCACTCTGCCCGACAGCGCCTGGAGCGAGGGAAGTTGGACGTCCTGCAGTGGGCATGGGAGCGGCGGAGGTGAGAGAGGCGGCTGGGCTAGACGGGAGGGCTTCGTGCCCGAGGTCATCGCGTCCAGGGGAGCGGCGGAAGGTCGCAGCGTCGGGTTGTCCTCTGCCAAGGTTGCCGCGACCATCCTCCACGGGGGTCAGCTCCCTGGTGCGTTCTACCCCTACACACCGTTCCCTGGGCTGAACAACGCGGGCGTTACTGCCCGTCGCGGTCCGCTCCAGGGTAGCGACGGAAGGTCGCGCTTCTGTGTGAATTGCGGGGATAGCCGCACTACCCCCTCCTTCAGTGCCACGCGTGCCGCAGTCAGGCTCCTGAGGGCGGCCTGGGGTGGTGTCAGAGTCGAGGTGCGCGCCGCAACCTGAGGACCCGTCTTCCATGCTCGAACCTTTTGTTGGGAGCAGCCTCGCTCGGGGCGGCCGCGTCCAGAGAGGGGGGCACGGCGGAGTGAGGGCAAGAGCCCCTAGGATGCGTGACGGGGCCGAGGCGACGTAACTGCCCGTCTCCCCCCACTTCGCCTTCAGGGGCGCTTGCTGGGGGTGTCGGGTCCATACAGTCCTTATCCGCGCCATCGAGGTCTCTGCGTCGGGAGCCGAGGGCAACTCCCAGCTCGTCGCGAGACTGCCCGAGAGGAGGGGGGTTCGTGGGATAATAAACTACTTCAGGAGTGGGCCCGTCGGCCCCCGTGAGCCTAGTATCGCCATGGGCGGTCCCGCTGTGCCCAGCGCTGTCAGGAGAAAAGGAGATTGGGCGTCCAGCTGTGGGCAGAGGAATAGTGGGGGCAAGGGAAGGGTAGCTGGGCGGGAGGGCCTCATGTCTGACAATACCTCCAGGATGGCGACGGAAGGTCGCGCTTTCAGTGTGAAACGGAGGGCTGAACGTATCAGCCCCGTCTACCGCTGCGCATCCGTCGATCTCAAGTCCAGGGTAGCGACGGAAGGTCGCACTTTCGGTGTGTATCACAGTGCCGAGGGGATCAGCCCCTCCCTGGCTGGAGATCATTTGTCCTCGCGTGCCCGAAGCATCGGCCGAAACGCTCCCATTCCAGGGAACAGAGAGCGAAGGTTGCCCCGGCGGGATGGATGGTGTCCTGAGATCCAGGGCGAGTCTGTCCAAAGTCGTTTGGCCCAGTGGTCCCGAGGCCGACATCGGATGATGCGGCCCTTTCCCCCACAGGGATGACAGGATTGTCGCCGATCGATCGCAAGCTATCAGGCCGACCATCCATGAGGCAGCGGTCCTGATCCGAACTGAGCCTCTGGCCGCTGAGCCCGTCTGCGCGGCGGGCAGGCGTTCGCGATGGCTGGCGCGCCCGGTGCCGGAGGGGGTCCAGGGCCGCGGGCCCCCGGCGCAGCGTCTGGGCGCCCCCTTGAGCGGCGGGAGACTGCCCCGGAGAGGGCAGGCCCACCAGACGGCTTGAGCCAGAGGGGCTACGGAGCTGGTGGGGATACGCGAAGCGTCAAGAATTACTTGGGCAATCGGAACACAGCTTGCAACATGTGAATGTACACCGACCGTTGTTACCATGATGCCTTGAACACATAAACACATGTTGTGTTGATGATCGATACCGGCAGTTCGGCCATCGTCACAGCTTGAATCGCAATCGCCTGCTTGCAACCTCTCCGTCATTCCCGCGCTGTCAAACGAGCACTCGGCACGCACCCACATTCACTTCATCAGAAAAAAGACGGCCGCTGCAGCAACGACTTAGAGAATTGACCACGACCGTGCAAGACGCAGTGATACCTCAGCATAATCAACCTCTGCAACGAAATCGATCATGCAGTGGTTTCCGCCCACCTCCATTAGTAGAGCTTGAAACAACACGGCTGCTGGCAATCGTGCGGACGAGGACAAGCGCATGAAATTCAAATGGTTAGGGTCGCGCAAAGGACAGGTATGTGTGGGGTGCTACTGGCACCAGGAATGCGCCAACGTCGACACCCCAATGAGAGTCCCAGGATGGTGTGATATCGTATACATGCACGTAAGCTTTGGAAATGCACATCAATCAAAAACATGATTGGTGTGCGCGAGTGAACGTTAGACAAAACTGCGTTCCCCCCAATTGTCAGTACTCGCCTGATGGGTGCTGGTCGTGCTAGGAGTGCACCAGGGCCGCCCGAAAAACAGAATTAGCAGCTTCGCAGTGCTGTTCGGAACACGTGAAAGCAGCACAGCTCGTGCCACTTGGCTTCGATGAGAAGGCGGCCGTGGGCGGGCCGTGGTGTGTGAAACATAACGCCACCTGATGATGACCGCAAAAAGGTGTCTGTGTGTGGCTCACTCGAACCGTGTCTCTACGTGCGCGCGTCCGTGCGCGACGTACCCCTACGGCAGGGGCAGAACGCACAGGCACAAGGAAGTGATGACCGGATTCAGACAAACCTTCACTCGGGGCGGAGTGCCTACTCCAGACCAGGACGTGGAGCGGCTGCTGAACCGCACGAGCATCACACTGGCTGCAGACGGCCTACGTCGTCTTGACAAGGTCGCACCATGTCTCCTGGTCACCCGTGGCTTCTCCCTCTTATGCGATGTCACCGTGGTATCCTATCTCTGCTAATGGCAAAGCACGCCCAAGCACGAACAACAAGAAGGACTGCTTGACAACGGAGGAGCTTGGAACAAAGAAACTGCTGACTCAACCACTGGAACCGTGATGAGATGGATTACCCTGTGGATACCGTCATCCGCGTGAGTGGTGTGCAGATTTGGGCACCTGGCTCGCGTGCGAAGAGGCCCACTTGGGAATCCCTGTGGGGCACGATTTGCTGGAGAAGTGTGCAGAATTGCGAGGGCTCCCTGGCTGGTGAGGCACGATCAGCATTCAAGGATGTGGCGGATTGCGCGCGGGTGGAGCTCTCTAAATTAACTGTGGCACGATCCGCGCGAGGGGTGTGCCGAACTGTGCGCGGGCCCGTGTGCAGACCCGCTCACTGATGCTGCAGACGGAGCTCCCAGTGTGGCGCGGCGACAGTACAACAGCAGCGGCAGGGAGGGCTCTCCCCATAGAAGGACCTTTGTACTGATCAAGCGGGTGGGCCTCACCGGGGTAGGAGTGCCAAGCGCACTACCCCGCGTCGCCCACGCAAGGCCAGGCAGCTGCCAAGCATGCCCCAGGCGCAAACCCAATGCGTCCCCAGCGCCCCATGCTCAGCCGGGTGCCGCGGGGCGGACCTCGGCGCCACCGCCGCGCCACGCCAAGCAAGGTGCTGCTGCGAGGCTTCCCCCAAGGCGCCGTGGCGGACATGCGCAGCAGGGCAGCTGGATGGCGACGCTTCCATGCATGACCGAGACATGCTATATGGTCCTGCATCGCACCGCAGTGGGGATCCCGATTTTGATGGCGGCTCCGCAGCATCGGGTCCACAACTGCAATCGCCCCGACAGCGAGCGCGCAGGAGGGGCGGCCAAAGTCCCGAGCGGGGCTCGCCGCCATCCTACTTCCGGCCTTCGCGACACTAGAAGCCGGATCGGGCCTCCTCTGGCATGAAAGATAAGGGTCCTGAGGGGAACATTTAGGTCGGGCGTGTCCCCCTACAGGCGGATCTTGAAGGAACACCAAAAAACATGTCCTCAAACATCGTCCCCTGGCTATTTTTTATACTACTTTGGAATCTTCCTCCTGTACAGGGACACGCCCGACTTCAGGAAACGTGCCCTGGACAACAGAGAGCCGGCCCAGAGGACCAAAATTCTGGATCCTGCGGTCTTGACGTCCTCCTCCTCCTCCTCCTCCTCCTCCTCCTCCTCCTTGGAAGCTTGGAAACGGGCACCAACACCAACACCAGGGGTTACCTCCGTGGGAGAAAGATAATTCTAGATTTTGGTGTTGGGGGTCATCTTTCGGCCGCCTAGGAAGCCCGAATATTACCACCATCGCCGAGATCAGGATCATCTTCCCTCGGTGGAGGCACATCGCCGATATTGGTGTTGGTGTCAACCTCTAGGCCACCGACCTCCTCCTCCTCCTCCTCCTCGGGGAGGGCCACGAGAGCCCGAACACGGCGCACAAGACTCGGCGCCCAGTTCCATCAGGACCAGTCTCCTTCACGGCGACTCCTACACGAGATTCTGCCGCTCCGCGTCGGGCCTCTCTGCTGGTGACGCCCCTATCAGCTCCGGCGCGGGCCTCGAGCTCGAGTCGGCGGAGCGCATCGGCATGCCCTCGTCGAAGCCGTCGTCTTCCTGACGGAAGTAGCGGGCCTCCCGGACGCCCCGGCAGGGAGAGCACGTGACCACCTTTTCGGGGAGAAAGAAAGGTGGGGACAGCAGAGGGTAGGGTAGAGAATCAGCTCACGTAGTTGATTTTCCCAGCGCCTCCCGGCGCCGGGAGGCGCGCATGTATCAAGGAATGTGCCTGTGGGCGAGGCCGAAACCAGCTGCATGCAGCAGATTTCGTAAACCCCCTTTCCCTATCCCCCCCTTTCGTTCGGCCCGACCTTTGCGACCAGGCTGACGGAGCACAGGACGACCCTGATGAGACGCCCAGTGCCGTCCATGCCGCTGATGCTGGCCAGGCGCATCTCCAGCTCCCTCTCCTCGGCGGGCGGCAGGCATTGAGAGCGAGCGCTTGCACAGACTTCACCCTCCTTCTCTCGCCAGAAGAAAAAGACAGAAACAAACAAACACACACAGACTGCACACACATACAATTTCTGGAGGTCTGCGCAAGACCTTTCGGAGCGGCGGCGAAGGCGCCGCTAGTGGGGCCCAGAGCCGAACAATCCGCGCGGACCTCCGACGATGTGTGATTGTGTGCTCGCTCTTCCTGGACTTGCTGCTCTCCATCCTCTCTTGCGACGGAAGGCAGAGACACGATGTGGACCTGCACACGGCAGGCTCGCGCGGCGCCGGCGCGCGCCAAGGCTTTTTGACGCCGCGCCGATCGTTCGGCCTTGAATGTTCAAGGCTGAACCCAGTCGGGCCCAGCGGCGTCACCCGTGCCCATCGGCGCTTCCGCCAGCGCCGCAAGAATTCGACCCAGAACGCCCTCGCTGGCGTCGCCTGGCGCGCCAGCGCAGCGCGAATCTGCCGCAGCCGTGCACTTTTTTTCTCCTGCGCCGCCGCGCGGCGGGCACTGTGCCCGCTCGGGGGCACGGACCGCGGTGCAGAAAAAGTGCTGCCTCGCCCAGCCCGTCCAGCAGCTGCGCCACGGACGCGCAGGACACCGGCGCCCGCCGAGGACTGCTGCGGCGCACCTCCCCGTAGAGAAGAGAGAAAGTCGCTGGCTCTCGGTGGGGAGTCCTAGGCCGCCGCCCTTCGCCGAGGCCCAGGAGCAAGCCAGCGGAGGGTCTGTGTATACATATATATATATATATATATATATATATATATATGTGAAAAAATTGTGCTGGAGAAGCCGATGCACGCCCAGGTCTGGGTCCCAGGATCGCCCTGTCAGGTCCGAGTGCCACACGTGGCCCGACTCTCGGGCGGCCAAAGAATCGATGGGGGTCCGCACTCGGCCTCCGAGCCTGGGTGGGCGTGCGTTCTGGCCAGCACTTCGAGGCGGATCCAGCCGTCAGGCCCGAGCCTGACCCAATCGCGAAATGGGATCCGATCAGAAGCGAATCGGGCCGCACTTGAGCCAGCGCGGAAACGGAACACTTCGGATGGCAGAGCGGCCTCGGCCACTGCAGGGCGGAGAGGCAGCCAGCTTGCGTCAGATCGACCTGGGTCGGAGTCGGACTCGGAACTTGGGAATCGGATCAAATCGAATCGGACCGTGATCAACCCTTAGGGGAACGAAGAATGACATAAACATAAAAACTCGAAGGTCCGCGCGGATTTCTGGGATCGGCGCTGGACCCCCCTCCCTGGCGCGCGGAGCGCGCCAGGGGCGGCGCCGGACGCGCCGCCAGGGGGGTCCAGCGCCGATCCGAGAAGTCCGCGCGGACCTCCGAGTTGTTATGTTTATGTCATGATTCGTTCCCCTAACCCTGCCTGTGGAGTCGGTCAGAGGTGCCCAGAAATCACACGGGGTCTCCGACGGTCCCCGGAGCCCTCCAGAGGCCCACCGATGGCCGGACCACGCCACTCGGAAAACTGTCCTCGATGCCTGCGGGGTCTGCATCGACAATCCTCAAGAGCTGTGCTAGCGCCAACGTGCACTTGTCCACCGAGCCCGTCATACGCGACGCATGCGGTGGAAATGAGTGAAGGGGCCCTGGCACGCCAATAAATATACACAAATAACAGGATTCCCCATGTTTCCACATATTTTCTAGGGTTCTGTCTTTCCCCCCACTGCCCATATTTTCCAATATTTCCCTGGGGAATCGACGATGAATTGCGTCTGTGTGTTTTTTCCCCTCCTGAATGAGGGCCGGCACAGGCTCCGCACTACCGGTGGAACTGAATGTGCTAACACACACAGAGGCTCACCCGCACACTCTTGCGTCGCGCGCGGGCGGCGAACTCCGCACGGGCGTCCCAAGGTCGGCGAACCCGAATCCCAGTGCGCCGAATCTGCAGCTGCGTTGAGCGCAAGACGCAGCGAAGTGCAAGACCGACCAACCCCTCACGCAGCCGGGGAAGCGGCGGGCTGGGCGGCGGCGGGCGCGTGCAGGCCAGCCGGAAAATCTGGAGACGCATCCATGCAGCTACGCAACTACAGTCGGACCCGGGGCAGAAGAACATCCCCCGAGGACATGAGACCCTCCGCCAGCCAAAACACACAGAACATCCAAGGGTGCCCTCCCCAGAATGCACAAAAACATCAGACAGACACGAAGAAAATGAGGGTACCCTCCCCAAGCCGACCTCGATCTTGTACCTCGGCCCGACTGTAGTTTGAGCGCACGGCCGAGTCGAGCCCCGACCTGCATGGGCTCGAGGGCCGCAGCACTTGCCGAGCCCTCACGCGGCAGGGCAGAGGCGGGGCCGCGGCAGCGGCGGAGAGATCCAGCGCGAACGCACGCGAGGACAGCAGGAAGGAGGAGCAGCGAGCTACTCTCCTGTCGGGCTGCAGGGAGACGAGGACGCGGGCGCGGTGGCGGTGGCAGTCACCAAGAGGGGGCACGAGGGAACGCTGGCGCCTGCAGAGGTCAGGGCTGGGAAGCAGCGACGGGCAAGCGGTGGGCGTGAGAGGCGAGCTCGCTGGACGGAAGCCCAGGGCGGCACGAGGGCCGGCTCGCGCGAGAAGCGAAACGAGCTCGCCAAGACCGCACGAGAAAGAGAGAGAGAGAGGCCAGGGGCTGGGAGAACAGCAGCTCATGCAGGCAGCGAAGGATGTACCCACCTCGCAGGGCGGCAAAACTGCAGCGGTCGACCACGCGGTGGGCCCGGGGCAAGGTGTCCAAAGGCGCGCGGCCAATGAGAATGTGCGGCGCGCGCGCGGGCGCCCGGCAGGTCTAGGCTGCTGGGGAGGCGGGGCTCTGCGCGGTGGGAGGCTCCGCCGTCCCCGACAGGCCGTTGACAGCCTCTTCGCGCTCAGCCCAGTCGGAGAAATGACGGAACTCCTCGGGCGAGAGGTGCGCCAGGTCGTACGCAGCTTGGTAGCAGTCGCACCACGTCTTCCTCAGGGAACTGTGTCGCAGCTGACACGCTATGATCATGGCACATCGTCGACGCTGGCACTGTCGGGGCCAATTCCAGCAGAGGGACGGAATGAGTATCGTTTAACCGATCCCCATCCTCGGCGGCGTGGCCTGGGCCCCACTGGCCGATTTACCCCCCTAGACGGGGATATAGGTCGTTACCTTCGGGCTTCGAGGGGTGTATCCCCAACTGGGGGGGTTATTCGGTGGGGGTCTCGAAGGGGACGGGGATGTGGATGGGGATCGGATAAGGAACGCTAAACAAGGAACGAAGCCCCTCTGTGGCTTCAAAAAAGCCTGGGTGCACGAGAAGGGCTAGAGGAACAACCACGGAAGGACGTAAGGAACATTGAGCCCCTTCCGAATCCAAACTGTTCCTTATCTCGGCGTCTTGGCTGCACCGAGGAAAGAGCCCCATGCGCCATGTGTCTCGGGTGCCCTGGCGGGCGAAGGGCCAGCGGGGCGTCTGTCCGCGGAGGACCGGGCCGCGGAGGCGTGCCAAGCAATCCCCGCACATTTGCCCGAATTGACGCGGTTGGAGAAATCGAAAAAAGTACCGATACCGCTACTCTTAGGTCGGGCCTGTCCCCCTACAGGGGGATTTCGGACGAAAAATGAAAAATACGCAACAAATATTCAAAAGATGCCCAAAATTATTTCAAAAATAGTCCCCAGACTATTTTTTTGACTATTTTTGAATATTCCCCCTGTAGAGGGACAGGCCCGACTTAACGCTACTCCCCGGACCTCTCCCAGGGTGCGGTCTGATCAGAATCTCGAGGCGAAGCCAGCGGTGGCGACGAGGGCCTCCAAGGATGCCCCCTGGAAAAGGGGGAAACGAGGGAAGGGTGGAAGCATGGGTACCTCTTCCTCCTCCGAGTGGCGCCCGCCTCCTGCGGCGCAGGCAGGGCTGCCCCAAGCGATGGCCCACTCGCCTCCGCTGCCGGGAGGATGCCCGTCCTCCGTTCAGCTGGGCTTAAGTCGGGGCTGTCCCTCTACAGGGGTGAAATTCCAAAATCGGCAAAAAATAGTCTGCACACGATGTGTCTATTATCTTTGACCATTTTGGAACACTTTTTGACTATCTTATATTTTTTCCTCCACCATCCCCTTGTATGGGGACATGCCCGACGTAAAGCTGGGGCGTGGGCGGGTCCTCTCGGGGGCCCTGGCGGGCGCTGGTCGAGGGCCACCGCGAGAAGCCTCTCCGGGCGCAGGCAGGCCGGTTCGCGGCCGCACGCGGCCGCCGAGGGGGGCAGCGACCAGCTCTGCGGCGGGTCGCTCTTACGATCGATGTCACTATCGATCTCACTCGAACGATCACACGATCGATTTCACAATCGATCTCTGAAGCGACCTCAATCGATCTCGCAGTCGAGCTCACACTCAATCCCACCATCGATCTCGCTGTTGGTCTCGCAGTCGATCGCACTGTCGATCTCACTATCGATTGCACATATCGATGCAACTCTCATTTTCACTATCGATCTCACTGCCACCCGCACGATCGATGCAACTACCGATCTCACCATCAACCTCACGAACGATCCAACTATCGATCTCACTACCGATCTCATCACATCCAAACAGCTCCGCCTCGCCCGCACGGACGACACGAACACGAAACCAAAACCAGTTTACCAGTGGGGGGCTCTCCGTTCCACTGCGATCTCGACCCCCGACCTCCGACTGGGCCACCACGGGAGACGAGGATGAGGAGGAGGAGAGACGGGAGGGCGTTGGGGGAGGGAGGAGGGGGAGGAGGGGCCGATCGCCGCACTCAGAGAGGTGCACCGAAAGAGGGACCCCGTGCGGGGATGGGGGAGGAAGCAGCTCGCCAGACGGCCACCGCTAGCAGAGCGTCCACAAGACGACCAGAGGAGGAGAGGGGGAGCACCGAGAAGAGGTGTCGTCTTGAGGACCAGCGGCTGTAGGAGGCCGGGTGGTACAGTCGGACCTGGGACAGAAGAGCACCCTTCAAGAACATGAGACCGCCCGTCGGCCAAAACACACTGAACATCCAAGGGTGTCCTCCCCAGGATGCACAAGAGCATCCAACAAGCACGAAGAGCATTAGGGTACCCTCCCCGAACCGACCTCGATCTTCTACCTCGGCCCGACTGTCGTATGTCTGCTGTCTGCCGAGAGAGATCTCCTTCAGTGCCGCCTCCTGCAGCCTCTGGGTGGCCCGGGACCCCGCCTGCCGCAAAGCGACCGCGGCCTCCTCGGCGCGCGAGAGGTCCTTTAGAGGCCTCCTAGATGGGGTCGGAGTAGATGGGGTCGGAGAATCGCGCCGCATCGGCGATGCATCGGCGATGCATCGGCGATTCACTGGCGATGCATCGGCGACGTCGGCGATGCGTCGGCGACGTCGGCGTGGAGAAAATCGGGCTCCGCATCGAGCCGCACCGTCGGTGCATCGGCGATGCGGCGCGATCCTCCGACCCCATCTGTTCGGACCCCGCCTGGGAGGCCGAGATCCTTGCGCAGCTCTCGCACCTGCGACCTCAGCCCCGCGTCGGCGGCCTCCGCCGCCTCGGGGACCCTTTACATGGCATCGGAGGAGTCTTCGGCGGGTCCGCGCGGCTCTCGGGGCGGCGCTGGCACCCCCTCCCCGTTCCCTGGGGCGTGGGGCGCGCCAGGGGCTGCGCCAAGAAGACGCCGCCGCCGAGGTTCCTCGTTTGCGGAAGAACCAACGGGAAACAACAAACAAAAACCAGACAGCCAGTCCCGGGGCGGCGGGGAAGAACATGCCACCACGGCGGCACGTGGGGGTGCAAATTCTCCAGCCGCTCTGGGACGGACGCACCGACTGGCGGGGAACGACCACATGATACGTCGTTTTTCGCCCACAGGGGGGAAAGGTGTCCAACGCAGACCAAGGCCGTCAACGGCGATAGCGCAACCAAGAACCGACCCAACCGACAAAGAAGCAGCCGAAACCGACTGAAGCCGAATCTACTTACTGGAAGCGGCTTGAAACGAAGCAGCGACGCAGCAACGACGCCACAGCCGACCAAACCGAAGCCGACGAATGCAACCGACCACGACGCGGCCAAACACGCCGAACCGCGGAAATCAATGCAGAGCCAAGAATACCCTCGTCGTCCGATGTTCGGATCAGATGTATTTCAAATCTCTGGCAACCCTGGGGGACGATAGTTGTTTTCCTCTCGCTCCTCCTCCTGGGACAACGCCTCCAGAGGTTCGCCGCCGTCGTAGTCCGTCAGCGCGTCCGCTGACAGAGGTGATACAGGTACGTCCACCGTGCCGGTCCTGAGAGCCCTGTTGGCCCGAAGGGCCACAAAGAGGGAAAGGACCGCGAGGAACGTCGTGATGCTGATAATCGAGATTATCTGATATGGAATGATGGGGGAAAGAGGGGCTCGCCGCCGCAAACAGGATTCGCACTCGCGTGAGGCTTCTCACTGAATGGCTTGAGCCACAGCGGCGATCACGCCGCTCTGTCATAGATACCTCGCTACATGCTGGGCACTCGTGCTTCCCCTCCCTTGCCTCGGGAGGACATCTACACATCAACTCTGGGTGGGAAAACGCAGCGAAAGTCTACGAGCTGATCCCACACACACGCACTGAGGGCACAGCAGATTATTTCTTGCGGCTGGCCCGCCACTGGTAGCCGACCTCTGATAGGCAAGCTACCAAAAAATACAACGCTCTATGTTGGAGCACCCAGAACACAACACGGGGACTCCAGAGGCTAAAAAAGGAAAATACGGCTGAAATAAACTCACAAAGAACACCTCGGAAGCCACTGCCAATACCACAGCAGCAGATAGGATTGATGTATACTGCCATGAACAAAGAATAGCAGTGATTGAAGAATGAAATCCAGCGAGAAACAATAAATCTCGCGCAAGCCACGTATACGGTCTACCACAGCGTAGACACGAAAGAATGGGAAAATATTCTCCCTGCAAAGACAGTCGAACAATATTCGCTGAACATCCTGCAATCCATCGAAATACGCAAAGATCAAGATTCACTGATATTCCCACTCGCTGGTATCTTTGTGAGGACCCCGCAAGCACAGAGCCAGGGTTCATCTCCAGTTATCATCAACACTGCCGTCTCCCACAGCATCAAGATAGGCTCTCGGGCCAGTCCACCCTTGGTCAACGCGTCGCTGATCATGGCTCTAGTGTCCACCCACCAGAGCTTACAGAGGGTACCTGCTTCAAGTCTATCGCGTAGAGCGCGCAGTAAATATAAAAGATGAGGTTCCGCTGGTGCCTTCAGTTCGGTTGCGCCCAGCGCCGTGAACAGGCCCCTGTTGTCCGTGCAAACATGCAAATCAACTGGTAGCCTTCCTGTATCCATACATCTCTGAATTTGTTTCGCCGTCAAAGGGCCGTGAACGATCTCACGCGCCATCGCTTGCGTCAATAGTGCATTGCTGATGCCATCATCCACGCTTGCCAGCTCCGCCGAGAAAGTAGAACGACATACTCGAGGTTGCTTTCGTGAGTTGAACTCCACTGCTGCACACAGTCCTCCTTTTGGCATGAAGTCCCGACCAGCAATCGCGATAGCTGCCGCTCTCACAGCTAGGCAGTCCGGCTCGGTCGCCCGGAAAGCACTGTCGGGAAAACCCACAACACTCCATGGTAGAGGTACTGAATAGTAGACAAGCGAACTCTTCTTTCTCTTGATCCAGCGTACAACTGAGTTCAAGTGTCGAACATGTTTCCAGCAAGGTTCATGAGCGTGTCGTTGTAGGTATCCAATATGGACTGCAACATCTGCTCGCGTGACTAACATCCAGGCTGCCCCACCCAAGAGTGACCAAAATGAAGTTCGGTCTTGGGAATCGAGGGCTTCTTCATCAGCCCGAATCTTGTCTACCTGCATCGGCCGAAGTTGAGCCGCGTAGTGATCCTGAGAGCACCGCGCAGATCCGTCTTCATGCTGATCATGAACAACGCCACAGTGCTCGAACCTTCTCTTCTGCCTTGTGAGTTTTCCGAACTCCGACTCGAGAGCATCCATAAAGGCGCCAGCAATCGGTTCGGTCGAGGCGCCCTTGAGGTCGTCCACGTGTGTACTGCACACCATCTGCAAGTCCTCGATCGCTATCTCCGGGTCGGTGAATGACACGTCTGTGCCTCGGGCCTTGTCCTTGTCCGCGTTCATGGGTACTAGCTCACGAGGGACAGGTTCACATCGAGAGCCAGCCCATTTGCAGTAAAATTGGGAATCGGTCACCAACGGCAAGAGTTGAAGCTTCGTCATTACTTGCTTTAGCCTGAGATTCCATAACCTTGGCGCATCTTTGAGACCGAAACCTGGACGTACCATCTCCAAGCAGTGCCGACTCACATCATAGTTGGATAATGGTTCAAATTGCCTTGCGATCTTTACCGTGTCCTTGGGCAGGTCCAACTGAACAGTTCTGAGGGACTCCCCTGTCATATCTGCCACACCTTGAAATGTAAGTCCCTTCAGAAATGCGCTGCCAACATCACAAGACCACAACGCCCACTTGGGGCGACTTGCCGCGATGACATTCACTATCCTCTGGCTTTGCCTCGAGGCGGTCGCACTGAAGGTATCCAGACACCCCTGCTGTAGATCTTTGAAGCCCTTGATGCGTAGTCGTGCTTCGACTGCCAACTTACCGTCTGGCTGCTTCTTCCAACGGATAACCCATCGAGAGTCCATCAAGTTGGTGCACCCTAGCCTGCTTCGTTGCTTGAGCGCACCCAACTCAATCCAGTTGCCTAGCTCCTTCGGCATAGCCTTTTTCCACCTCCACTCGATGCTTGATCAGGTCATCCTTGTTGAGTTCGTCAGCCTCTCGTTCAATAACCATCTTGGTCTTCCCCGTCGAGTTGACGGACAGAATAAGACGATGGCCCCCGTCGTTCGCAAAGAGAGAGAAGATCTCAGACTTGGGCAAGTCGTGTGCATCGGTGGTCATGATCACAAGCCTGGAGATCTCTGATTCGAACTCCACCTCCAGAACTTGCATCTCCTTCTCTGTATTCCCAAGATAAGTAGCCACCTCAACAGCTTCCAACACTCGAGAATCCAACCAGTACGCAGCGTCCGGCGGTGATTGGCTGTCAAGGATAGCGTGAAAGAAGCTGAACTCTGTCCTCACGTGTCGCGTCCATCCGGGATCCCAGGGTTCCAGCCACAGGTCCTGCACATCTGAGTTGGCGTCTGGCTCTATCCGATAGGGCTGTTGAAATGGTCGCCACGTAGGCCTTAGCAGTTCGGGGTCCGCCTCCGCATCTCGGGGATGCGCCACCCCTTGAGCATGAGGCTCAGATGCCTCTGACTCCTCGTCGATGGTGGCCTCTGGAGTGGGCCAGCGATGCCATCGATCTGGTCGTTCTTCCACATCATGCGGATCGCGATGTCGTACTTGACCGCGTGGTGCTGGAAAGTCGGGCATCTGTTGAGGACCTCCAACGTGGGGTACGTGAACGTCAATCTGTCGCAAGACCTCGGCCGTAGAAATTTCCACCATTAGAAACTGCACCCAGCACACGCGTCCAAAGCCTGGCCCCATCAGATGCAGTGTACTCGCCTTCGCTCGAGGATCGAAACTTGCGTGGTGATAGCCAATCGATTCTCCTGGAAACCACCATACGATCATGCACGTGTGATGTCCTCGGGCAGCTGGAACTTCTCGCGAACCGTACCCTAGTCTCGTGGCCACGACTCCATATAGTTGAAAGTCGCAGGCGGCCACGTGGAAAGCTGCTGTCGTCAGAGTCGGCAGCCGACGACTGGTCTTCGTCATCCTCCAGTGTCCATCCTCGCCGATCTCATATCCCAGGAGTGACGTAGTGCCCGCCGCCATGTTCTCCACGTAGTATACTCAGAGCTGGTACGGCTTGGTGTCACCGCGGCCAGGAGCCGCCATGAGAGTCAACCATGTCACTGCCTTACGAACATCGGCTGGGCAGCACGGTAGCGTGCGACCCTGCCATCGTACATCGATGATGCCCTCGTCAGCTCGATCCATGGCAACTACCTTGCAGGGTCCTCGCCAACCAGTGACATCCTTGTTCGGCGGGCCCCGGAAGATATCAACCGAGTCCCCTACACGAAGATCTCCGAGCTGAGCCGCTGGTCTCGTTCGCGTTCGAGCTGCTCTCTTCAGTCTTTCCTGCGCGTTGCCCTGCGCGATATTGGCGAGGGCCAACTCCCTGACTCGATGAACATGACGAGACACTGCGCCTCCAGACTCGTCGTCGAACTCCGATCCTCCCCCTCCGAGCTCCAGTAAAAAGTTCGGAACCCGACCATACAAAGCCGCATATGGTGTGGTCCCGTGAACGCTCAAGAGGGTGTTCATGGCCAACAAGGATTCGTCCAGCAATTCTTCCTTCGAAGCTCTAATGCCTTCTTCATTTGCTTGACTTCGAACTCGGTGATACTGTGTCCGAAGTAAGTCGTTCCTCCGTTCAATAACATGAGCATGTGCTCCTTTGGGCTTCGGTCTCAAGTCCACCTTCCATCGATCTGCCCAAATAGCTCCTTCATCAGAGAACAATGCCCCC